GAAAAAATAGCCGATTACGGTTAAGTTAATACAATGGTATTTTAACACCTAAACATATTACACGAAATCAGAAATTCTTAAAATCGAAAGATTTTTTATAAAATCAACCGATCTTAAAGTAAAAAATGAGTTGTTTATTCTTAAAATTCCCGATTTTAGTTATATTTTTAGAAATTTTGTTTTATTTTTTTTCGAAAATACAATAAGCCAGTGAATGGTCAGATATATTCATAACCCGTGCTCAACTTTTTTCATTTTAGAGGTTATAATGACACCAACCAGTGTTGAATAGTCTCAGAAAATATTTCACTACATTGAATTATTGTATCCAGGATATCTAAAATGCTCCCCAATCGTATTGATAAAATTTAAACGATTTCCTTTATTTAGACCTGTATCTCTTCTAAGGCTTCCGCAGAGTTAGAACAAACTATATTGTATTTAAAATTATTCCTACTATGTCCCAGCAACTCATATTATATCATATTGATTCTGTTCAACTAGTTCAACCTTTAGGAAGGCCACTCTAATATTATGCATGTTGTCGCAACCAAGAACAAGAAAATTATATATAATATCTAGGTATTTAAATTAATTACAATTGGAAATAGAATGGATACTCTAATTTATGATCGTAGTACCGGAAATGTTGACATCTTTTTCAGTCCACAACCAAATTTTGTAAAAATTTTGCCTCCTATTCCAGCTTTTCTTTGGCTAGACTAGAAGCAATGGTTCCTGTCTTTCTTTTGTTAGATCTTCAGTTATAACGATTTTACTATTCTTCACTTTCTTCTTGCTGTGATTGGCCATATTTCGTTGATGCATACTATCGAAATTAATACTATTTTTGTTCGAAATTTTATAAAGATTTATCGCAGATTTATCCATTTGGTTAGTTTTGAGATCTTCACGGTCAGTTTGTCAACCAACTTATTAAAACAGTTTTTATCGTCAACAAGGTTATTTGAAATTTTTTTGCGTATATCATATATCAAAAAATCTGTGTCTGTTATTGATGCTCAATGTCATTCTGCGCGTATTTTGGCTTTTTTAAAATTAGCTGCTTTTTGAGCAATAATTGTGTCAAAAGTACCGCGCAAAGCCCGCCTAATACGAAAAAATATTTCAAATTTCACTTTGCTACCCGATTGTCGCCTTGTATTTTTTACCCCTGATCTCGCAACTTTTATGAGATGCAAAAAACTATCCATTCCACCGTTTGGAAAACTGAACGCGACCTTGCAAAAGCCGTTGTAATGTTAACATTGTTATTATCGACGTGAATTTTAAAAACCGCCGAGTGGTGATTCATTTTGCCCTCGGAAAGTACTGTAAAACGACGAACGAGTTTATGCATTTAACAGGTGTTATTTACAGCGGTGGAAATTTGAAACGGAATAAATGTACTTCAGCGAACGCAAAGAAAGCAAACGCCACGCCAGCAGCAGCCAACGTTGGAACGGAATTTGTTTATCACGTCACATTATACTCTTATTTTTTATTTCTCTGCGCCAAGCGAAGTAAAACTGTTGCTATCTGTTGGGCCACCGAGTAATCTACACTAATCTAAATTCTAAAATATCTCGATTATTAAAATTATTATTAAACATTATTTCTAACACCGTTTCATCATTTTTGACTGCGTAGACAACCAGATACTTTCGAACGTGATATTGGGAAAATTGTTTCGAGATATAAAAGGGCCCAACAGTAATGAGCTGCCCTGTATATCCAGTAGCGTAGCTACGCACTTTTGATTTTCATAGAATTTCGAAGCTAAAATTAAATATTTAAGCCGGTTATTTTGTGAGTCGAAATAAAAAATAATATACAAATAAAGTGTGTTAAGACATATTGAAAATTCAGCGAGCCACTGTCGTGGGAAAACCTAAGAAAATCGGATCATATAACGAATATCGAAGGACTTATCATTTGGGTTGTTTTGTGCATGGTTTAGAAAAAAAAAAGCTATTTTCCTACTTTAGAAAGTCTTAAAAATAACGTTTTAATATTAAGATGAACTTGTTTATTTCTTTAATTTCCATTAACATGTTTAAGTTTATTAACATATTTATTATACTAGGAGTAGCAGGCGATAATATGTCTACCCATATAATTCAACTTCATTGGCATCTAGAAGATTAGGCGCTATCTACGTAAAATAGGTTTAGAGTTTAATAGTAATACGTTTATCAACCACACTGTCGGTTTTTTTTGCAATTTGTATAAGAACGGTCGAATAAAAATGTTTACATACAACAACAATTATTGACCACGTAATCAAAGGATGTGTAAACAAACTATTTAAAGGTTGTAAAAATTTTTTCAAGAGATATTGCTTTAATCTTATTTTAAAAGTTGTCAAACAGTCACATTTAAAAAAAAATCTTTGTTTTCCTGTCTGGTGTTATTTTGAATAAAGTTATTTTTGTTTTTAATTACAAAGAACTTGGTATTATTATTGTCATTATTTTATTTTGATTTTCTCACGCAGTTAGCCACTTATTTGACACGAAAAAAATCTAGTTGCTTTTGATAAACGGTTTAAAAAAAAAATTATAAAATTCGGTTTAAATCTATTTAGCCTTTCTGCTTCTGTGCACTTTTATTAGTATTTTGTCCCAAATAACCGTCTTAAAAGTGATTTTTGCTATTTACCTAGTATTATTTGTTAAAAAAATTAACATTCCAAAAATTCATATCATGGTTTTATTTATATATATAACTCCTAGGTTCTAGACATGCAGAGTTTGAGTTTTAATCCCACCGATAATCACGGACGTGTGTGTGAATTTAAATGTGTTTGTCAGACATTTGTTTATCAAATAAATAAGAATCGTGCTGGCAAATTGCCTTAGTAGCTCCGCTAAAAATTGAGAGAATGAATGAACGGTTAGCTGAACATACAGTTGGGGAACTGATATATTGATGTTTTCCATGTAAACCACTCGCCTTTAATTGCAAACACTTTCACTGATTTGTCGCCAATTTTCCTTCGATAATTTATCTTTTTTTCACCGTTCGTACCGATGAGGGTTTTTTTCCCAGACTTTTTCATCGGTTCAAAAAACTTCAAACGAAAGCGAGCTATATACAATAATCTGGAAAATTGCGATCTCTTCTTAAGAAGTGAAGTTTGCCATTATGAAATACAAAAAAAGTTAAATGGGAAAAAAATCTTAAAAACTAACTTTGCTTTGGAAGTCTTATTTAAATTCTCCGCTTTTCCCTCGTTTTTTCGAAGCTGCAAAGTAGTTTTCTTTGTAACAATTTTATGTCGGCGCGGCTTAAAACGTATTTAATAAATGAAGTTTTGTTTTTCGTTTCGACGCCCGATTTCATTTTTTTAATGTTTTATTTTCTACCGACCTACGACCCGTTAATTCAGAATTCGCCACTAAAACCCAAGTAACGACAAGTCCATTTTCACTCTTTCTAGACAGGCCGGTACGTTTGAACTGACATAGGCATCCATGGACATCCCCTTATAACATATAATAACATGTATATCGAAGTATAGGTCAGACATACGAATTAGTTTAAATGTACTGTCCTGTCTGGCACTGGCGACTCGATACCTACTTAAGTAACACTAATTTCATCATCGTGATCTCTAACGTTGGATCGATGCTAGTAGATATAACATCGCTCAGGCCAGACAGGTTGGTACATTTGAACTACTCCGTATGCCTAACATATACTTCTATATATATATATATATATATATATATATATATATATATATATATATATATATATATATATATATATATATATATATATATATATATATATATATATATATATATATATATATATATATATATATATATATATATATATATATATATATATATATATATATGTAATTATACTTACCATACATGCAGACATAGGAAAGGTATATGGAGAAATAGGGGTGGGCCCACCTCAAAAATTAACCAAAATTTTTTTTTTTCGTTTTTTCTTCTAATAATGATAAATTCTGGTTATTTGTACACTTTTGGCCGTTTGCGTAGTACCAGGATTAAAATGGACCGCTAAAAAAAGCTATTCTATACTATTATAACCGAATCATAATTAATTTATAGAAAGGGTTATTTTTTGGATTGGATTGGATTGGATTTAGCTTAAATCCAGAGCTTTCGAAAATGATATAAATACGAATAACAAATTTTTTTAATCGATAGAAAAATAGTTACTTTAATAATTTTTAATAAATAGTTATAATTGTTATATATTACATTATAAATAGGGGAGAGATTGGGCATTACGGCCCGAAGATTCGCCAAAATTTGGGTATATTTTGACTTAATGGTTAAAAGCCACAAAAAATAATAAAAAAACTTAAGTGGGCCATGTCCCACCCTCCCCCAGTGAGGTATAGGAGAGGTATATAAAAGGTATATAAATGGAAATATACGAAAGTATATCACATACAATCATTTTGACTGCTATTACATAGAATATAGTCAAAGATAACCACCGTTAACCTGAATATAATTGTTTACTGTCTTTGAAATGTTTAAATAATTAATTTGTTCCTGGAGTGTACTAACGCACTTTTTTAAACCCCCAAATAAATCCATTTTTGTATTTTCCGATTGAACGAATAAAAAAAAAGTAATCCGCTCAACGTGACCGGTCCGAAAATTAAAAATTATTCGCAAAATCCTCTACGTTGTGTAATTATTTGCTCGATTCTTTTGCCTCCCAGGTGGAAAAAGGGACTAATATAACGGAAACTGTTTTAATTATACACCGAAAACGGGAAATCTAATGCAGCTATAAAGGCAGTTTCAAATAAACGCCAATTTCGACCGTTTTTAATATCACCCCTTTTGATACGATCGAAAAATAAATATAATTTCGCGATTTGCTTTGCCATAATTAACTGCGGTACTTTGAGCATTGTAAACATAATATTAAGCATACCGTTGGTTTCTTTTTTTTAATCGTTTTTAAACCTACCTTAAAAACAGATTTCTCCTTTATAGAAACTGCAAACGATTGGGGAGGACTTCTGCGGCCTGGATGTGAACACACCTTTAGGAGGCGAGCAGCCTGTTGTTACTGTCCCGGTTCTCCTGTTCAACACGAGACTGACGGCTGTCGTCGCGACGTCAACTGGCGATTTTACCGTGGTATTTATTGGGACGTCTACCGGTCATCTGAAAAAGGTAGGAACTGCTTTTTTATAAACATCAGAATTCATTAAATCCAGCAACTATTGTTGTTAATAGAATAATTATAATAACACCTGGGAGATTTTAATGCGGACTTTTTAAATCCAAACGATCCAGTCGCTTCCTGTCTAGAATCATTTAATTTATTTCAAATCATTTTTCATCGATTTTTATTTCTTGTAAAGAGTTGGTGCCTTCTACTAGTGTGATAGACACGAATCACGTGTCTGAGTGAAGTCTTTCGAAAATTTTGATCAACCAAAGTTTGGTACCGATTTGGCTCAGCTTGCTTGGTATTTACTGATGTATTTAACAAGTTCGTTTTATCACTCGTCACGCCCCAATAAAATAAATAAAAGTTAGAAAACCCAAAGCTCCCTGATTAACATAATTCGAAATTAATCATGAAAGAGGGCGACAGATATAAAAACTTTTTATAAAACTTCTGGATTCCTCCTGCGTCGGTTTTTGCTGAGTCGAACTTGCTGGCGTTTCGCTGCTGACGCATGCTGTTGGCTTCTTCAGAGCTTGACTGACACTAGTTTCTATGATCGACTCGGCAAAAACCGACGCACGGGGAATCCAGAAATTTTATAAAACGTATTACAGTAGCCTGTGGAAGTGAAATTCCGTAACTTTGCCTTTACATGTCTTAGTAAAGAAAAAAAGGCTTATATTGATTTATTAATGGCCCACAAAACGATTCCTAAAAGCTGTGGTATTCATTAAGTGGTTTTAATATAAAAGACAATAAATCGAAATTCCTATACACTTGTATGATCCTCAAGAGATTAATACCTACTTTTCAAGCTTCCTCCAAACTATGTCTAATAACTACAAAAATCAAATAGAATTTTTTGACTCGAACTCTTTTAGTTTTGCTATGTCTAACCCTGAAGAAGTAGGTTGTGTTTTGCATTCTAATTATCACGGCGTAGACGATATTTCTGCTGCAAAGGCTAAAAAAATGTAGCCCTATTATGGATCCCCTACATTACAAATATAATTTTCTAATGTGCGTGTTATCAGTATCCTTCCTGCAATTTCTCAAATTTTGGGAAAATTTTTATATAAGTAAAAATTCAGAATAGCTGTTGTAGGCTTGCTTGCAAATGTCGTATATATATATATATATATATATATATATATATATATATATATATATATATATATATATATATATATATATATATATATATATATATATATATATATATATATATATATATATGATCATGTGTCCGAAAAAATAAAAGAATTTGGTTTGCTAAAAATGGAAACGCGTAGGACTCTCCATTTGTTAAATTTTCCTCATCGGGTTATTTGCCCTCAAAGGCAAGTTTCAGAGCCGTTCACGTTGTAATTTAAGAAATGATACTCTGTTTTCTATTCCTAAATATCAACTTCCCTGTTTAGGAGAGGCTGCATCTGTAATGCAAATACGTTGTACAATTCGCTTCCAGAAAATTAAAAAAAAAAACTTTCTTTAAAGAAGTTTAAAATAGAATTTAACAAGAAGCAACTTCCTTTGTAAAAATATTAAACGATGTATTCCTAATTTAGAGCAATAATATGTGTGTCTGTACATTTAGATCACCTTCTATTTTTTGTCTGTTATTTTCGATTCCGTCTATTTCTTTTCCTCTTGCTTCTAATGGCTAAGTAAGTTTTAAGCTAGACTTCGCTACATTGAAGCACTTTTATTATTTATGAAATGTAATTTTGAAAAAAAATGTAATTAATGAAAGACGTTTTATTATTATTATTATTATAATTCGCACTTTGTTAACTTAATATCAGTTTATTTATAGCTATGTTGGCTTAGGAGACCCTTTAGGCAATTTTGGAAATATTTAAGTATCATGCATAAGGTTAAGGTGAACTAAAAATCATCTGGTCGTTATGTTACAAACTGAAACACACTTTTCGTTCTATTTCGTATTCGAAACTTTTTTATATCGTCTAAAGAATAGAATATAATGAGAAAACAAAATTTTAAAATTTTTTACACAACACGTTCTCAGTTTGGGCAAAAGACCGGTATTTACATATTCTCAAACAAATCTTTATTTAACTTTGAGTAAGTTACAGAGTTGGTATACACATATAAATAGATTACTAATCTACTTGTATACTAGGAGTATATTCTCATCTAATAGTGATGCACTGGATTAGATAAAATTATTGATACATCAGATTTTTGTTCATTGTTTAGTACTTTGAATATTAATATATAGTATTCGATACAAATTTATTATAGATAGTATTTACATACTCGTTCCAACTAATTTCATCTACACTTACCCTAAATATCTAACATTATTTACTTGCTGTGTATTATTAATTTTTATCTTTCATCATAAATATTTTTTTATTTATATTAATGATTAATTTACTACTATACAACAAATATACATATTTCCTGAGGTCATTGTTGACCTCGTCACATAGAGTTCGTCTGCACTTGTATAGGCTAAAGCAGTATCATTTGCGAAGGGAAAATAGCGTGCTTTAAGATTGGCAACTTTTAAATTTTAGAAGTTTTTAAAGTTTTACAGTACGACAGCGGCCCCAAAGACTGAACTGAAGCTCCAGTAATTCCAAATTTTTCCCATTTATTTAATAAAATATCAAAACCAACCATGTCTAAAGCTTGACTCAGAACTATGAACACTACACTAGCTCACTTTTTGCCTTTGCAAAAAAAAACAAATCTAGTGCTGAGATTGAAGAGATCTGTGTTTCATTTTCTTTTAATTCAGTACTAGAGTAGCGACAGTGAACTTCTAGGTAATCTTTAGTTTTCTTTTTAATAGGTATGTCATCCAAGAATCTAATGTTGAAGCTTAGAAGAGTAAATAATTCAAAATGAAGATGTTTTCGTTTTAGTCAATTATTGCCAAATTTTTAGTAATATACGCACGATATACGCAGCTGTTGATGCAACAAAATAAAGGGAACTGCACAATAAAAATGCTAATGCTTTGCCAATTAACTACTGTGTAATTTTACACAAAAAATTCGTCAGTTACATTAAGAAAATATCCAAATGATTGAATCCATTTGGCGGATCAAATCTCAATAAATGTCCTTTTTGATTCTAGAGTACTTTACTTACTGAACTGCATCCTCCATTTTTGAATTTTTTATATTTTAAAATAACCACACATCGATTTCCACTTACCTAAACCAAAGTTTACAGAAGACTTACACTCAAAACCGTATAATTATTATATTTTCATTAAATTATACGTAAAATAACAACGCAACTAACGCAAAACTGAAATGAAAGACCACCGTTCTTCGAACAATCTAATTAGAAAGCCATTACCGGGCGTATAACGAGGGTTCAAAACTGTATGTCCGGGACTCTCAAAAATACGCGGCGTATGGAAAATTCGACAAAATGAAAATGGAATTTGAATTTGACACGTGATTGACTTGACAGGGTGCCTATAAAACACTTTTTAGAATTTTATTTTGGATTATTGACCATAGTATTGTCGTTTAAAAAAAAATGACGCTGTTATTCCTACTACGCGAGGTCCCGCGAATTTGCAACGAACAAAGCCTTGTCGCATCGTACCAATCATATCCACTTGGTCGTTTTTATTTCCACGATTATTCGGTTTGTTTCTGTTCCTACTTGGCAACGGTATACTTATAATTAAAATGACAAGATACAAGATTATTAACTACGTTTTACAATAAAGCAATTGTAGCAATTAAAAAAAAGTACAATATAAATTAAATAAGTACAAAAAAACAAGTAAGAACACAAGCGGCGTAAAAAAAGAATACCACGTAAGATTACCAAGTAATTTTATTCTCCAAAGAAATGAGATTTTATGAATAGTAGTTATGCTCAAAATATTATATAAGTCCTAACATAGGAATGTAGTAATATTTGCATGATTTTTGAGAATTTAGACCAAACCTCTTAAACTATAGTTCACAATGATCCCGCACTGTAAAGATTGTAGAAGACAACGAAGAGTTGCTCCGAAAAAATGCACCGTAGCTCACATGAGGGTGAAATGATACACTATGTCGCAAAACAAAAAGACCTGAACTAAGTTTGCTTTTTAATTTTTTTATCTCTTCTGACTTATATATATATATATATATATATATATATATATATATATATATATATATATATATATATATATATATATATATATATATATATATATATATATATATTTTTACGTATTGATTCACGGATGCAAAAATGTGATGACACTATATTCCGGGATATCATCCGTTCGCTTGTTGAACTCCGACTGGAATCCTGCATCCAACTGGAATTCTGCAGACGTTTCGCCAAAATCTCATTTGGCATCTTCAATGCTCGCGCTCCGGATTCCTGATTTTAGGACTAGGATTATACGAGAGGCCATCGAGATAGAAAAGTCCAGACACCTGAATACGAGAGACGACGCTCTGCATTTATCCAATACGTGGAGAACGATAATCAAACAGCAGTACGATACGCAGCAGCCAACGCAGCAACTACGATCGGGCGAAATTAACAACGCGACAATTCGGGGGGAGGAGCCACCTCCCCTCCCGCACAAGCAGCACCGTTACCATCTCCGGCGCAGGGTATAAATACCGCACGCACCGCCCAGTGTTCGAAGTGTTTTCGGAGCGCGACATCACGTATATGTTTTTTTTGTTCAGAAAATTGTAGCGAGCGAACCGCGTATATACTAGCAAAAGGGAGCTCGAAAACCATCGGCACCATCAAAATCCTCATCCCGGATTGGGGTGAAATCAGTTACGGCTCGGCTGAAGGGTGGGATGTGCTGTTCAAACGTCTCACATATCTTCCGACGTCACGCGGAGTCGACTAATTATCGAAGTATCAATCGTTTCCAGTCGAGATCTTCCTTGATCGATCGTGTCGCTCGCACACTCCCCGCCAAACGGTTGATCAAAACCCGCAAGGCTTAAACAAAGGGATTTGTACAATTTGTTTTCGCTTTCCA